AAAATGCGCACCGAAATGGACACAAGTACGAAATTGTCCGCATCGAGTAGCGAAGTATCGATGATGGAAATTGAACCGGTGACAAGACCTTCACCGACGACTCCGACGAAAGTGACGCAGCAGCCTGCATCTTCACAAGAGGAGACATCCAATGTTCCGCCTGTAGAAGCGAGCACGACCAAGAAGGAAGTGAACGAGACTGCGACGTCATCGGCATCCTCGTCGTCATCTGCGAATGCGACATCGCCGTCGACGCAGACTACTAGCGCGAAGAGCGACAGCGGTAAACCCGCTGCTTCAGAAACAGAGGAAGATGGCAAAGGCGGCACTAAGGCGCCAAAGAAGGCACGGAGCGGTAAACGACTGAGCGTGGAACCACCACCAGAACGTAAGAATCTTCGTTCGAGTGCCGGTAGACAGGCACGGGCGGCTGCGGAAAGGCAGGCGCGGATGGAGGGCGAGATGCAGCAATCCGAGCAGCAGCAGCAAGAAAGTCACATGGCCGGCGAGTGAGTCACGGCGAGGTCCCGTCGGACTGCTGCCGTAAAACGATGAAAGACAATTACCGCCCTATGGTGAACTGACAAAAGAAATTTGGTGGACGCCAGCGAACCACGTTTTTTTTTTTTTTTCCTTTCAACTCTCTGATTCGACATTGCTCGCACAACGAAGATCTGTATGTAGATGATTCCCTGTTCGACAAACACGAAAGTGTAAGGTTGTTTCTAATGGCATTGAAACGCGAGTGTATCGAAAGGGGGCTACAAACATTGGTAGAATCTACCGTAGCCTTCGGTTCGGTTCTTGGATGATGAAAAATGTGTGAACAAAGGACTCCCTCAATTCTACGGGAGATGGATCATGTTTCTTTAGGTGGACAGTGTGTGACAGTGCACATTTATTGAATTGAAAAAAAAAAAAAAAAAGAGAGAAATCTCTCCAATACGAAGGCTGCGATAGTATTTTATCACTCGATACTTTGTGTAGTAATTAATTTTTAATTGCGTAATCATGATACAATAATAAAAGTATAGTTTTGTTAAATTTATTATCTACTATCTCTTATTGGTTTTGACCAGGGACTGTTTTATATAAAAATATATATATATATACATATAGATATATATTATAAAATTGTGTATTCGCTATTGCGCATAAAGCAATTCACGCAAGGAACGCAAGACGGAATATAATCGTAATGTAGAGAAAATAATTACAGTAATAACTTAATAAAAAAAGGAAAAATGTAAATATATATACAATTACGCCTATAGAGACAGTAAGCAATCGTGTACTTGAAAAAGAAAATGTATATAATGCAGTGTACTTTTAATTACATTAGGTGAAACAATAAACAGCTTCTTTCGTTGTTTGCAAATACCAAGGATTCGAATCTCTTATTTTATACAATCTGCATAAAAGAAAAAAATTATTAAATTAGGCTTAAATTATCTATTAAATAATTTTAGGGTAGATAGAGAAATTATTTAAATAAAGATAAATATCTTTATTTAAATAGTTAAAAATGATACAGGAAAACGTTGATAAATCGATTTTATAAAATAATATATATTTTATGCAAATGAAATCGTTATATGATAATTTGTGTAAGTTAAATTTTATTAGAATCTTTCTGTACATCGAAATTTTTTTATGCATCTAGAGGTTGTGGCACAATACGCATATACGTTTTGCCGGAAGGTAACATCACAGTTTTGATATTGTTATAGGAAGATTTGGCTTCACTGTCTGATACGCTTGGATCAATCATTACGTCGTCTCCTTTCTAAAATATCGTAAATATATGTAAAAATTAACGTGTTAAATCATCAATGACATGTTTAGCTCGATATTTAATTATAAACAGCGGAAAAATTATCTCGTAAAAATCTAAGTGAAATTTTATTTTCTCAAACCTACCTTCCAATCTACAGGAGTCGCTACTTTGTACTTTTGCGTGAGCTGAAGGGATTCTATTACCCTTATTATCTCACTGCAATTCGAAGTATGAAATTTTAATAGTCTTATATTTACAAGCAATAAGTGACATTTAACGAAATGTAACGTTTCTCACTCAAAATTACGACCAGTGGTAGCTGGGTATAAAATTGATAATCGCATTTTCTTGGCTGGATCAATTATAAACACGGCTCGTGCCGACATGGGTAATCCAGTATGACTATCGACCTCCACGGGATCCAACATTCCGAATAATGTGGCAAGCTTTCTGGCTTGATCTTCTATTATCGGATATGGAAATTCTTCGCCTGTTACTTCGCCGTAACTCTTTATATCCTAGAATAACGTTTTATTTAATAATACCGATATGAATCTATGAAGGAAACTTATTAAATCTAATATTAAATTTTGTTAAATTGAAATCTACTAATGCTTTCCAGCAAGAGATATAGTGTAACACGGTGATCATCACTTCGTCCTTCACATTGGCAAATAACAGGGATATAATGATTTACTGTCTTATATTGTGTCATCTATTTCTTGCTGAAAAACATCCTAAATCAAATACATTTATCTAAAAAAAAACTTGTTTATAATGAATTCAGTCACTATACTAGATTATCCTTAAAACTGCTTTATATGAAGCATTTAAATGTTCAGTGCCATGATACAAACTTTGATAATAAAATAATACATGTATATTCTATTAAATAATTGACAATATTATTGGGTATTTAATCGTTTAAGATATTTATATATTCTCTTACATTTAACTTTATCACATCTAGCAGCTTTTAATATGTATTAAATCTAATGTAATATGGAAGTGACTGAATTCGCTGTGAGCAAACCTCTATCCATTTACGATGAGAGTCGACTGAATTACAGGACAATGCCATTACTTTCACACCCAATCTCTTGAATTCGGGCATTAGTTTCACGACTCGTGCCAACTCGGTTGTGCAGACCGGCGTGAAATCATTTGGATGAGAAAATAAGATACCCCACCTGTATATTTCGAACAAATAAGTATCTTATACAAACTGAATTGTGAATAAACTGAACTGAGAATTGTATAATATAGTAATTATGCATACAACATATAAATTTATTGTAACTTATACATAAAAATCACGTCATGTGACAAATCACAACAAATAAATAAAATAGTAACATCTCAAGTACTTTTATTTATAACATTTTGACCGTATTTACGAATATTTCGGTACGTAGACTGTATGTAATAATCTTTTTTTATATATATGATCGTATATGACGACGGAGTCTGTTTAGGTTACAAATATTACAGAATATCTTACGAATCGCCCAGCCATTCGTGAAATCTGATCGTGCCCATCTGGGTGTCCGCTGTGAAGTCTGGAAACACTTCACCTAGTAAAACCATAATGTGGAATATGTAATTTTACGATAAAACAATTAAAAGTATGTCACTGATGTCCCGTTGAAAAGCACGCGTACGTCAACTATATCTATCTGTATTGAACTGTAACAAATCAGGAAAAAGGGAAGGGAGACTCAGTGGTGTATTTAGGTTAGCGAAATACATGGCACCATTGTTGGACGCATATGGAGTATTCAGAGATTCCTACTCGAGTACTCCTCAGGTATCATTACTGTCATTTTATTCTTGTTTAATATTTGAACGACAAAACTAAAATGATGCCTAACTGGTACTCAGAGAATCTTATATATCTGTAAAAAAGGAATAGTATTCCAGACTTTCAGAATTTATTAGATATTTGTCCCATTTTGTTCATCCGGGCGGAATAATTAATTTTTCGTTGTTCAATACGTGGAAAGAAAAATTAGATTAGCGGTAATAAATTATATAATTAATATATGTTGGTATAGAAAGCAGCATAAAATGTGTTTATACTGCACCCCTGCCTTCCGATCTGATTCTAGATACGAGCCTGTCGGATCTGTCGGAATGATCTGTGTGTGGGTGAAAGTTTACGTAGTTGCAATTCGCGCCATCACGCATGCTCGAAATTTTTTTCCTTGCAGAAGTGTTTTTGATAAGGAGCGAGTAATGCCGGCAAATGGCGGTTGTTATAGCGACCAGTAATGTTAAATAATTGAATTTACATGCAAATTGCACATTACAGGCCTCTTGAATCAACCTGGCACGTTTGGCATACACGCAATGTATTTGCTCGTACATATATGAAAATAAAAAGTGAAATATGCATATATTCATATTTACAACATCAAACATATGTGTATACATGTATATTTATAATCACATATTTCATTCTAATTGGATAGATGATTTGCACATATCATTAAACAGGCTGATATAACAATAGATTAAATGTCGAGTATATCATAAAAATCTGTGATAAATATTGTATGCGTGCGTGTGTGTATGTGTGGATCTACACTTTGTGTGATCTCTGAGGCCAAATATGAGTCTTCTTCATATTAGTGAAGAAGGCTGGATTATATCTCACTTGCAGTATCTCGATGAGATATACAAGAAAGTCCAAAACATAGATGGCTTTTGCACTTTAAGCTTTAACAAAATGATATTTGAGATCAATTCTCAGTACTTGAGGCCAAATCAAATAGTTCAGACCATCCAGGAGTCCCAGAACAATGCTATAATATACAATAGAAAAAAGAGGAAGCGCTCACAGCAATTGCCACAAAAAGACTTGGAAGAAGTAGGTTCAGAATTAAATGTAACATCCAATTTATGTTACAAAATATGACCTTTAAAATATTAATGAATAAGAATTATGCTATATTTTCTGTAGTATCTTAAAATCATTCTCATACAACAGGTTGATCGCGTTAAACAAGCATTTATTGCAATGATGTCTGTCGCAAAAAACAAAGGACTTTTTTGCCAGAATAACTTTCTTGATAACAATGAGGCAGCACGTTTGGCATCTATGAAATTTTACCAGGATACTTACTCTCTCAAAAATGAGAATCTCTATGGTTCCAATGATACTGATGACGCTATTGTATCAGTAGCTCATAATAAGAAATATGTATTCCCCAAAAAATGTACATTTTATTGCTATGATATACGAGATATAGAAAAAAAAATGGAACTGAGCAATCAATATGATTTTATATTGCTAGATCCACCTTGGTGGAACAAGTCAATCAGAAGGAAAAAGATGAAATGTGCAGAGGCCAGGTAATCTAATACAATTCTTTAGAAATTTATAAATAAACGAAATCTTAGTGTATACTTAAAGAAAACAACAAAAATTATAAATTTAACATGTTTTAAATTTAAATAAAAATAATTTTGTATCTCCAAGAATGAATGAAATGTACATATGTAAATTGCCTTGTTTCAATTTACTTACATCCGATATATTCTTATTATATACATTCTTATGTTACATGAGATATTTAGGAAAATACGATTGTATATTTTTACAGTTACAAAATGATGTACAATGAGGAATTAGTCAAGATACCAATAAAAAAACTGTTACATCCAAATGGTATTGTAGCCGTATGGTGCACTAATTCGTCCAACCATTTGAATAGTATTTTTAATGAAATGTTTCCATCTTGGGGTATTACTTATAGAGCTAAGTGGTATTGGCTCAAGGTAAGTAATATCTCAATAAAGTTGGCAATCAATGCAATGAGTATCTATTAAATAACAACTGCCACTCTAGGTGACACAAGCAGGTGACACAATATGTAACTTTAATTCGGCACCTGGGAAACAGCCTTACGAATTACTGATATTAGGGTCTGCATTAGAAAAAGAACATGAAGTAGATATTCCCGATGGCAGATTGATGATCAGTGTACCTAGTGCGGTACATTCACATAAACCACCACTCACAGGTGCAAATATAAAATTTAAATGTGAGATACATTCCACAAAATATTTGATATATTACAATAAAAGATTTGTTCACGTCCTCAGAAATCATAAAGGAATATCTGCCGAACGAGCCAAAATGTCTAGAAATTTTTGCAAGATACTTATTGCCTGGATGGACAAGTTGGGGACTAGAAATTTTAAAGTTTCAACATTTGTCGCTCTATGAGATTCTGGATAAGTGTAAAAAAGATGAAAATAATGTTAACAACATAAAAAGCGAAAATGAAAGTAAAGAAGAATCATAAAATGTAAGATAAATCTATAGACATTATAAATATGTAAATTATGAGACAACGCGTATCGATCCTTTATTATAAATTATTTGCAAACTTTTCTTGATACAATTTGTTGTTACGATGTATTGTTCAGGTGTTCAGTAGTTCCGTTTTTTAACGAAGTTCGATAACCGTGTGGATTCATCGTTTGCCACGTCCAGAAGTCATGACCTATATTCAACATTTTATCGTTAGACATGATTATTTGAGATTGTTCAGACTTGCGTTCAAGCCGAAATATATTACTTACACATTTGCTCAACGTTATACTTCGCAGTCCAGCCTAATTCTTTTTTCGCCAAATCTGTATTGGCGTACATGGATACGATGTCGCCTTCTCTTCTCTCCTTTATAATATACGGCACGGTAGTACCAGTGACTTTCTCAAACGTTTTTATTAATTCCAACACTGTCACACCGTTGCCGGTGCCTAAGTTGTAAATCTTTAGCCTAAGATGCTGTTTGTGTAAAGCATTTAATGCAGCCACATGGCCAGCTGCCAAATCCATAACATGAATGTAATCACGGACGCCTGGAAAAGTATAAAGCGTGGATATAGAATCAGTGATTTAAATAAAGCGTTCGATGAATTTATCTCATTTAACATTATCATCTTTCGTTACCTGTACCATCGTTTGTAGGATAATCACCACCAAATATGACCAACTCCGATTTGTGCCTCAAAGCGACTTGAGCGATATACGGCATCAGATTTGTAAACGGCTTTGTTGGATCTTCCCCGATCAATCCCGATCGATGAGCACCCACCGGGTTGAAATATCTCAGAGAAATAATGTTCCAACTCTGTCAAATGAAAGAAGTCCTTAATAAAAATTGAAATAGTATGCATTAACTAGAACATTAATTAACATGATTACTTCTGCTAAAAGAGAAAACTAAAAAAGTAAAAAAAATTATTATTAATCTAGAATAAATTTATATGTGAGTAAACGAGCACTATATTATTTTATATAAAATTTCAATCGTTAATGTTATAAAATTGAAGTAATTTCGTATAAATTTGAAATTTTCTATATCTTCGAACCTTTTCAGCTCTGGATATATCCTTGAGCATCTCTTCAATAAAATACTTTGTTCGGCCGTAGACATTGGTGATATTGCCGGTTTCGTGTTCTTCCGTGATGGGCAATTCTGTAGGTTCACCGTAAACCGTGCAAGAACTACTGAATACAAGCTGAAAGCAGCCGGCTGCTTTCATCACCTATAAAAGAAAACGGAATGACGTATCAAATTGTGGAAGAGATTCTATAGGAGCACACACGGGTAATATAATCTTCTTACCTCAAGCAGATTGATAGCTCCAATTATATTATTTCGATAATAATGCAGCGGAACTTGCATCGACTCGCCGACAGCTTTGATAGCCGCGAAATGTATCACGCAATCTATTTTGTACTGAAAGTGACAAATTACTCTTTATGTGCTCACGAAACACAAACGGCTTTCTAATTTTATCAACTTTACGTCATATAATTACAACAGAGCAGTCATCATAAATGGAATGTACAATATGGAATATAATTAGTGAACGTAATACCTGATTAAAGACTGTCTCGAGCTTCTCTCTGTCAAGTAAATCGCAGTTATAAAATGTAACTTTCTTCCCTGTTATTTGCTCGACTCTTTTGAGTGCCGCGGATTCGCCGTCGGTTTCTGTTACGCTATTTGCGAAGTTGTCTATAGCCACCACGTCGTAACCGCACTCTAGGAGCTCGACGATGCAGTGACTGCCGATGTAACCAGCGCCTCCGGTTACGAAAATGGTCCTCCAGACTTCCGTCATCTTCCCGACTAGGAATTCAATTTTTAATTTACGCTCGTCGAGAGACGCTTCTTCGAACATATTATAACAAAAATATTTTTAATTAAAATAATATTATCATTTGTGAAATATAACGAATTTAATTTAAAGGTTTGTTGTGTAAAATGTAAAAAAAACAATACGATCTATTTTTTCTAAACTAAAACATCTTGTAGTAGGAAAATCCTTTTATTATAAGAACATTTGTACAACCAATTGTTAAGCCGCAATATCTGTGCTTACTCGTTTATTAAAATTCGAATCTAGTCGAATAGTTAAATTCAATTTAAACTCTAGGTTCACGCAGGTCAGACATTTATTCATAGGGACGCACGTTCGTAAGCTGAAGAGTGCAGGTGTTTAGGGCATTCACCTTCGTTCAAGTGAGCAAACAGAGTTCAAGGTTGCTGAAACACGTGGTAAATCACTGCAGCGAGACGCGGTATACTTGCAATTCGATGTAGTTAAAAAAAAAAAGGAACGCATATACAAGGTAAGTATAAAAATATTTATATACAATAATGTAACAATAATATAAATTAATCTAAAATTAGAATTTAATTTGAAAATTGAGAGAGAGAGAGAGAGAGAGAGAGAGAGAACTTTTAAATATTTAAACTTTAAACATTTCAAATAATTATATACGATTCTGAAATCCGAACATGATTATATGTAAAATATCTATAATGTATAAATTCGTTTTTAATACAATTGTGATGTGTGTATGTGTTGTTCAAGAATTTTTCCAATTCATTAAGTTCGGAGCCCAACTTGCGTGAAGTCATACTTAACGGTATTTGAAATCATACTGTTGCTCGACACTTATTTGGTCATTGGAAGTGTATTTCCAAATACATATTCCTAAACAGATATTTGTGCAAAAAGAGTTTTCTTTATAGATTGTAATGCCTACTATTTAAATATAGGTAGTTTTTCAAGTGAAATTAATCTTAATTTACTCACGCCTCATTAATCACCGATTGGAATGTGTACTTGCAACGCGAGTTGAATACTTGAGAGTCTTTCTACGAACCTTGGCCTTTTAGAAAAATTAATCAGTGTCCTTGAGAGTCGATTTTTCTCATCAGATTACGAGAGATTGTTCTCGCAAAGATTTCCTGTCATTCTAGTTTAGAATGAAACTGATGCATTGTCTTGGGATTTTTTATTATCCCAGAGAATTTTTAATTGCAATATATGTTTTATTACAAGACTTAATATCGTACAAAGGAATGAAGAGATCGTTACCTCAGTTTAAGACTAAGTACTAGATGATTCAGTAAAGAACGCAATCAATTTTGATCCGAAGAACTGCAAGGCACTTTCGCGCGATGACTGACACTAACTGTGACTCTGCCTTGAATAGTAACTGCAGAAGAGCGAAGGTAGTATATCGTGGGACGCGCGAGACATCCCCTCCTCCATGATGCCATATCGGCACGCACACTATGTCCTTCCTACAAGCCTTGTCTTGTTCTACTCCAACCACTCGTTCTACGATTCTCATCTAAAAAGAGTTCCTCCTCCTCTACCTTCTCCTTTCACATCTCATGTCGCACTCCTGCTACCACGCTCGAGATCACGAGAAGCAGGATAAAGTCGCTACTGTCTTTTGTTGACTGTATTCGCTAATTACAACATAATCGTTACTGAATTAACGAAAGCACGTTGCTCATCTTTGGCGCCTCGATTAAGCAAGACTTTAGCCGTTAGCTGTAGGAACCTGTTTCGAGACGACTAATAACGTAATCGCGCAAAATGAGAGAAAAACAACTAGTCGAAGGGCATCCCTCACTCGTCCCTCAAAGAATGTGCCCTGATTTTCGATTTTGATGGAGCACACGACGCAACGTAAAGTTATAAAAAATGTCCACAACAAATAATAATCAGGAAAAAAATATTGTGCACATAATTTCTAACATTATTGTATATATTTACTGCGTCGATACTACTTGTATCAATTTATGCAACAGTTCTTTTTGCTCTGTATCAAAGTAAGGATATAATTCGCTCTCGAGTTCCAATACTGCTTGATGATCATGAGACTGACACGCTAATACTAAGGACTGTAGCAATAATAATTCATCCTCGCTCATATTAAGACCTGTAAAAAAACAATTGATCTCTAATAATTTTGAATAATTATGGTAAAACCAAAATACTTCTGTATAATTGGAAGCTTGATATGTACCGTTATTCACATTTTCTTCTGCCCATGCGTACTTTTCGAGAACCTGAGCAAGTGATGGTGTCAATCTCTGAGGTGACGGTTGAAGAATGAGCAGTAGAAGTACTCGCGTCACTTCGCACCTAGTTATTAATTTTATTATATTTTTTTAATTATTAAATGTAAAAACCACTGAATAAAGCAACACTTTCTTTAGAATTTTCTATTTATAAATTGACAACTGATTGTTTTTGTTTCATTTGCTTATCGCTGTAGGATTTTTATAGAGTATTAATTTTTTGCACAGCTGATATATGTATAAAATGAATCAAAATTCACTTTAAACATTACATGGGAAAAATGAGCATACAATATTATATTATTACAATATCTTCATGATAATACCTATGTAAAATAGCATTATAGTTTCCTCTGGCACCAGCCACAACACAAGCTTCTACAAATTCTACAAATTCATTGAGTATTTGTAGTGCAGCTACATAATCTCCTGTGAGAATAAAATTATATAAAATTCTATTTATGTTAAATAATCATAAATTATTAATTATTCATAAGATTACAGATAAAAACGGATCAAATACTGACCCTGTTTTATATAAAAAGATACTAGGGTATTGATAGCTTTTGATGTAGGAAAGATGTCAATTGCTTTGCGTAACAGTTGGATACCAGCAGGACCTGGGCCTAACGCTAATGCTAATTCTACTGATAAACCAGCAGAAATTGTATTGAATCCTGGTTGATTGCTGCATCTAGCCATGGAATGGCCAAAGCAACTCACAGCTGCCTGAAACATATGTAAATTATATTTAGTCCTTTCCTTTTGTTTCCTTTTTTATTGCAAATTCATGTTGTACAAGAAACCTGTATGTTCTCTTGGCCTATGGAGAGACATCCTATGTCGTTATCTTTTTTCTCAGCTGTAAGGAATTGCCTTCCCGCTTTTATGAGAAGATTTATTTCCGAAGAGGTATTTTCCAATGTACCTTGACATCTAGCAGCTGCCAACCAACACAAGCCTGCATATTGCCACAATTCCTTCTGTTCACATTCGGTAGCTAAAGCACCTAAAAAATCAAGTAATTTTATTTAATATTTTTCTTTTCTTAGTAATCAAGAATTGAATTATTTCATAGATTACATATAATTATATGAGCCTTTTAAAAGTCGAACATATCAATTCTATAAAATAAAAAGTAGAGAAAAAACCAGTAAATAATCATGAACTCTAATGTATGTATATTAAAATTTAAAAAATTTAATAAAATTGATCAATCAGACTTTTGAAAGGCATGTTAATTTTTTATCTAATTGATATACTAAATTAAACACTCACTAAATTGATCACATGCCTCTGCGACATTTGGCTTCCTCAGAAATCGCCTAAAAGATTATTAAAATATAAGAAAGAAAACTGTTTAAGAACTTCTATTTGTCAAAAATACTTTAATGACTTACTTTTTCAGTTTATTCGAAATATTATGAAATTTTGTAAAAAAGTCCATAGACTCTCCGATTCCTTGACCTTGATTGACATGAGCCATTTTTTTAAAATAAAAATTATGTCAGCCGAGAAATAGGTACGTGCCTATCTGCACGTTCGACGTTTTGTTCATAGTGATTCGATATGCATGTCATGTCACGATGCGCGTCGATATGAATAAAATTCCATATTTTGCAACTCTATCACGAGATGACGAGAAAAATGTCATAAATATGATTGACGTAAATAAACGTAACAGTGTACAGAACACTGCATTATCGACTCGCAGGAATTAGGTATCTAGGGTATTCAGTCACAACTCTCGAAGTAACTAGATGGATTTGGAAATTTGAATAGGTTTGGACGTGACAAATAGAGAATGATTGGAGTAGAAAAATTTAGTGAAGACAAAGGATCCCACTGTGTAAATACTGTGAATATATTCGTATTATAATATATATTTTTATATATATTACGGTGTAAATATATCTTATACCAGAGATGCATTTCATACATTCCATTTGGCGCTCTCCACATTCACGAGCATTATTTGTCCTTGTTCAACATTTGATAAACAACAAGGTTGAAACGATTCCATGAGCTTTGAGTGTAGACTCAAATAGTAGAACAACAAATCTCATGGCGGATTCCTTTATTTTGATTGATTTTGATTTTCCAGAATTCCCACGTATATATTACGTGATTGTCTGTTTCTGCTAGTTGCCGAATTTCTACGGTAAAATACCCAACCCCAACGCAAAATTTCAGTACGGTACTATTTTGTGTATGTGTGTTGTGTTTGTGTCTTTTTTTTTTTAGCGCGATTACGTTAGTTCCGTACTGAATCACTGGGAGCGCTGAAACTCAACACGAAATTTATTATTGGATCTTATGGACGCTTCCACTCTATTGTCATCTGTCTTTGCATATCACAATACTTTAAATTAGCGTTTGCACATATCTAAATGTTTCATAATATTGTATAATTTGCAAAGATGCCAGTTGCACAAAATGAAGTCAAGTCTAGCTGGGCTGATGAAGTTGAAGAAGAAGGAGGAGCATTACCTCCGCCTTCAGAGGTCTATGAGAATGGTTTTAAAATTTTCACCGAATACAAGTATGATCAAGATGATAAAAAAGTCAAGGCTGTCCGTATATATAAGATAGAACGACGTATAGTGTCGAAAACGATTGCGGCGCGTAAGAATTGGGCAAAATTCGGTGATTCTGCTGATGACAGACCAGGACCTGATCCAGCTACCACTGTCGGTGGTGAGGATGTCTTTATGCAATTTATATCCAGTAAAGAGGAAGAGAACAAAGTGGAGGAAGATTCGCTGGACAAATTAAAAAGCATGGGCGATAAGGGAGTCGTCAAGTGCCGTAATTGTAATGGTGAACATTGGACATCTAAGTGTCCATATAAAGATACTGTTCTTGCTGGTGGTAGGTTATATAAATAATTTAAATTTTATATAAATAAGTTATATCACAAATATATATTATTTTTGTAAAATTATAAATGAAATTTTGTAAGCTAAAATTCTGTATTTCAGGAAAAGTACCAGACGACAAGAAACCTCTCGTTAACACTGGAGTACCCAATGCAGTGACTGAACTTAAACCACAGGGTGGCAAATACGTGCCACCCGGTATGCGCGACGGCGGCAACAAACGCGGCGACTCGATGCAGATGCAGAGACGTGACGACACAACTGCCATACGTATTTCCAATCTCTCGCAAAGTACTACTGATGCAGATTTGGATGAGCTTGTGAAACCATTCGGTTCCGTAGTGAAACAGTTTCTCGCCAAAGAGAAGCTTTCCAATCTCTGCAAGGGTTTTGCATATGTACATTTCAAGCATAGAGCTGATGCAGCGAGAGCAATTGCCACTCTGGATGGTTATGGTTACGATCATTTAATCCTGAATGTGGAATGGTCGAAGCCACAAGCTCAGAATAATTGAAGTGATGCAAAGTGTACGACAATTGCGGATAGAAAAATGAAATTAGTTAAACTGGAGAAAATTTTTATAACAAACTGTATTTGTACATTATTTATGTATGTTCTTATCAGGGAATGGAAGTAACTCGTTACTTGTAACGAAGTTATAGTTGCAAGTTACTTTTTTGGTAACTTTACTGATAACTGTGTTACTTTCTTTTTTTGGTAACTGTAATGGTAACGTAGTTACATTTTTTGGATAACGTTAACGAAATTTACAGTTACTTTTATCGTTACTTTACTGCATACGATTGGATATGTTATTCTGTTATACAACAATTACATTAATTACGACAGCTATAAATATGGTTCTAAAACATTGAGTGTTTTTATTTAATACAAGCGTAAAAGCTACATTTAGTTTACCTTAATCTAAACATCATACATATTCTGTTCTAATTGAGCTGTGTACAAAGCTTTACTCTGTACGTTTATGTTGAGCAATTGGAAAACACCTCTTTTTGCAAAATTTCTGTTATATATTTTAATTATAGCGTTGTAATTTTCTTTCTATCAAAATATTTTTATTTATATGTATAGTTAATAAAAATAATTATAAATACTAGTACTAATAAAAGTATAGATTAAGTAAAAATATAGCTGTATTATAATATAATATAATATATATAATATAATGAAGAGATTATGTGTATCATATTTCTTATTTTTCTTTTTAATTTCTAACTTATATTGTGATTCAGATAGTCTTATACAATCCTATATAATCTTCTAGTTTTCTACAAAGTATATGAAAATTCCTATACATAGTGTAAGTGTTTTACATGCTGTATATATATATATTTTGCTTTTATTAACATTTAAACAAAAAACACTGCAAAAGTACATTTTTAGACTGATTTTTTAAATGTAATGAAAAGTTAATTACCTTTTGAGTAACGGTAACCGTAACGAATACATGCGAGAATGGGCGTGAGTAGTCTCTTCCTTGGACCTCTGATGGCGGGTCCGCCACAGTATTTTATATATCTATATATATATAAATAAAATATAGATAAATATACAATATAATACAAAAAAATATAGAGATTATAAGCTTATTTTTTGTTATAATTTTATTAAAATGTAAACTCTTCGCTTTTGACATTGCAATGTATTTTATTATTAAAGATACTTTATTTACCTATGTGAAAAACGATTACATCAATAAATAAAGTATACTTTATATTCTGAAAATCTTATTAATTGAAAAATATTGAAATGTTATATATTGTAAATTCTTATAAACTGATTTTATTAATTCTTATACTAATGATGAACTTACAAGAAAATTCGGTAGAATGAAACAAGATGATTAATTAGACTCGAAATTTTGTTCAAATGAGTATTAATATTACAAATGTAAATTGCTTAGAGATTTTAGGCTACTAATTTTATTTCAATGTGAAACAGCAACATGATGTCATTATATCCATTAAAGTACAGAGTAATTAATTAATGTATTACGTATTTTAATTGCGTCACATTCTGGACAGGAATTTAATTAACTGATTTATTACTATGGCACAAATGTGTTAGTCTGTTCCTTTTGAACTTCATAGGTTTATTCTTTCCAGCTGAACTTGTTGCACCGTTTATTTTTTCTCTTTTTTCTTCACGTTCGAGAGAAAAGGAAGAAAGATAAATGGTGCAAGAAGTTCAGTTGAAAATTGTAACACGAGCAATAACCAATTGCACTTCGCTCAGCCTTGTTCTGTGCGCATCAGCAGTCGATCGGTAAACAGTCGCAAACAGTCGGTGTAATCAGTGCAATGCACGCTCGCATGATTTGACGTATTTGACAAGTTTCGGAGCATTCAGGAGCATTTTAATTGCATGCGGAACGTCCATCGTGATCAAGATATTCTTTCCTCTAGAGGATAGGATCCTTTTTTTTTTAAATTTCTTCTATCATGGATACCGACAGGCCTTCACATGAGGAATGGAAAAAACGGGTATGTACACCACAGACTGTGTCACTCAAATCGTTAGACGGAGATAATTGAGGAAGCCCTACGAGTACTTCACAATGCTGCTTCCATTTTTTGATATCTAGGCAAATAAAACAAATCCGCATTTTTCTACGCAGTAAATGTGGTAGAATATACCTTAACATATTGATGTCTCAGCATCTAATTTACATGCTTAACATAATTTTTGCTATGAGTCAGTCTAGTAGAAACCTTTTGTGCAAATTTAGTTTAAAATATGTAACAGATATATTCGTATTGCTTGAAATTCCCAACAATGTTTTGCATTTATTAAAACGATATAAATATATATCATTCAGACTTTGAAGAGAAAGAAAGATTCTAAAAGCATAAAATATAAAAAGCAATGTATCTAACGATGCTATACTTAGGATTGTCAAATTACTGAATCCTGATCCAATATATTTAGGCTTTTGTGGGGCGACTGCCAGACAGTTTCCTGAGAATAGAACGTAATGTGCAGTTGGAGCAGGAGGCAGCAGATCAACAAGCTGCTCTAGCTCTGCACCAGCAGATGCGGAGTAAGAGTATGTCAGTAGCTCCTGACCCACGAATTGGTAGACTTAGTATAACAATTACTCAGGTAATTCTTGTATGATTGACGTTTTTTTGTATTGTTCATATATATTCAACAATTTAAGTCAACAATCTAAGAATTGACATTATCTTACAATGTAAAAAACTATTTTCTCTAGGCCAAATTAGTAAAAAATTATGGAATGACAAGGATGGATCCTTATGCGAGGATACGAGTGGGACACTCGATTTTTGAAACGCATACAGATACAAATGGTGGAAAAAATCCACATTGGAACAAAGTACTCCAATGGTGAGAAAGCATACTTTGTTCACATATGTATATGGATGTGCTATACACATATATATATATATATATATATGTGTTATAACATTTATTTTATTACAGTAATCTTCCACCTGGAGTTACCCAGATATACGTAGAAATTTACGATGAATGTTCTTTTGTGATGGATGAGTTGATTGCGTGGGGTCATATAGAGATTCCACCACAGGTTATTCAGAAGGGAGAAACCCACGAGGACTGGTATATGCTCAGTGGGAAGCAGGGAGACAATCAGGAGGGCATGATCAATTTAGTTTTCAGTTACACGGTAAAAATAATAATTATACTATTTACACATACGTTATCTATTTGTCATTTATTATTAACAATAAGTTATTTATAATATTAAACTATTATGAAGTAAATAGAACTACTAAAATTCAAAATGCAATTGCGCGCGATTTTTAATATTGTTTTCGAGTATTATTTTCAAGTTTTATCTTTTTCTTTTATTTGAACATATTTGCAATAGACCAATTATCCGTACATGGGTTCTTCATTGATGATGATTCCTTCTGCAACCATGTTCGGCATGCCATATGCCCCAGTCAATGTTTATACAGCACCTCCATCTGTTGTTACACCAACGGTTGTACCAAGTTCTTTGCCAAATGCTGAGGTCGAATTGAAACAGGTACTTAATATATATGCTTTGTTTTATAATTTTGTTCGATGTCTTTTTTGTCATATACACACAGTAGTAACGCCTATACTTTACAGATCGCAGAAATGTTTCCGAATGTTGACAGGGAAGTCATCAAATCGGTATATGATGCCAATCACGGCAAGAAAGACATTACAATTAATTCATTGCTTCAAATGTGCGAATAAGTCTTAATTTTTTACACAGTTAGAATGCCATACGTAATTTTATCGTATCCTTTATTATAATGGATATTTCTTTGAAATGTAAGATGTACGAAAATCTAATTTGTAATACTTCCATACGTAATAATATATATTAAGGCCCAAGTATTCTTTGAATATATAAAACTACGAAATATTTCTCTTCTGAAGAGACGTATTATGTTTTTATTGAATATAACATTGAATTATTTTTAGTCAATTTTGTTATATACGTTATTGTTATTTCAGAGTTTATCTTTCTGCTCATATTTCCATGAATATTTATTTTTTAATTACATCATATATTATATGATTTATTTGTCTCTGTATATAATTTGAATATACATGCGCGTTCTACAAAGTTGTAATAAGATATACGCTTGATTGATAATGTTGCACATAAATTGTAATAAATATTAAATATGACATAATTTGTACAATTTCATTTATATCAAAAGAATAAAATAAATTGAAAATGTCAGGGAATATCGAAAATTTTATACATAAACAGGGAAACGACTACAACTGCAAAAATAATTAGTGTTGAACATCTATTTCTTATCGTTGAGTTGCAGGGCATAAAATTGCCACTTTTAGATTTGCAGGCACATACTTCGATAGTATATCCTTCAGTCTAGAAGTATATTTAAAAAAATATAATATAATATTTTATACTTAGTCGTAAAATGCTCACACTGAATATAATAGTAAAGAAAGACGAAATTAATTACAAAGCGTTTACAATACATACGTATTTGAGATAACAGCCTGATATGATTGGTGTAACTTGGTCTTCTGTAACTTTTCCATGGAAATAACTAATGTTCATAACTACAAAAATAACATTATGTTTATACTTATATCTATAAAAATATTCCGATCATAAAATCTGAATCAATTCTATTTTGTCATTGTGAAGTATATTTACCTGCGCCATTGTACATATATGTATAGCTTACGCAAACGTAACCAGGTTGCATTCGTTGTATGTATTTTGTATTATTATTTTTATCTATATTCTCCCATAGTTTAGTTACATTTGGCTTTGTGTCATCTGAAAATATATATCATGATGAAATATCATTTAATAATCGAATTTATTGCTGAAAATAAATACGAATATTATACACTTACGAAAAAACAATGGCTCTATACAAGGAGTAAATGGATTATCTTCGTTATGTTCTTCACAATCTAACTTGTTGACTTCTGCATGAGAAGGGCCTGGCCATGTGAAATGAAAGCAATGTGGCCCTTTGATATCTGCTGCTATATACAAAACTAAGATAATTCTAAGAAGATATAGTTTACAAACAGCTGATAAACTGTGAAGTGTCGAATGAAATCAAATCGTACATAAATTAAATCAGAGACTCAAATAGCTTTGCATCATCTATATATATTAAGTCTTATGATTCTTTATATATGTATTTTAGCTCGAAAAATCATTTCTCTCGTTTATAATGTGATACAGACTAAGTCAAATATGTCCCTCGTATTTTTATATATATTATAATTTATATGTCTATGTGTATGTAATTATTTACACACACACACACACACACATATCACACACAATATTTACATATATATACACACAACACTTACACAAAACAAAAATTGTCTTAATGCTTTACATGTCATGTATATATGCGAATAGAGGTTTTTTGCGATCTATTCTTCGGCTGAATATCGAATGAAAAACTAATGATAGTTTAAACATTTCTAAGCAACATTTTTTAAAGTATATTACTAATATATTAACGGCCTGAAAAGCTACGCGATGTTATTTGATACTTATATTATGACTGTGCGACATTTGTAAGGCATTATCGAGGTGTATAATGTTGTAAAGAGAAATAAATACAATTACCTAATACATACACGCAAATTGTTAAAAGTACAACCAAATATATCTCTTTCATTTTTACATATTTAGAAGTTAATTCACGTAACGATATCGCGTATATTACTCACTTTGCTGGGATATTGAAGACTTATCTGATAAAGTCGATCATGATCATACAATACCAGTGTCCTAGATATGACAATCGTTATCAATGTATAGCATGATAGTATAAAGGACGTGACAAAAATTAATGAATGGTGAAAGATAATTAACTATATAAGTATTATATAATAATTAACTATATTGATTTAAAAAATGTTGTTTTGTTAACTTTGCTTTTTGTGAATTACATGCGCTTTTTAAACTTCTTCTGTATTAATTGTTAATATCCTTTACATTTTGAACGGATTTAGTGAGAATTGACTCTTATTGTGCCTATTTATTTACATATTGACTATATTGACGCGACTAAAAAGAGTGAACACTTCTCAAAGTATTTGGAGAAAACAATGGAGAATTAATATAAAATGACAATATAAAAAATTTATTATAACAACAGCTAATCAAAATTTACAATTTTTGGCAGTTATAGGCATATTTCATGCATGTTTCTACGATATCAATTATGTAAATACCACGATATATAAAACATCTAAGTAAATAAGTATTCTTTTTCTTAGATAAACTATATCTTAAGTAGATTTAATTATTATAAGTAATTTGTTTGTGAGTGTTTTTTTTCTTATGCGATTGCATCTTATTAAAATTCATCATGCCTCGCTAACGCCTCGCCAAAGTCCGTCGCCTGAGATCCTACAAAGATGTCGTATTTCTCCAAAATTTCGTTCTTCGTCAGCTTGTGATCGGCATCTGTGTCTGCTTCGTAGATCAAGTGTCTCGATTCTGCCTCAGCGTGATCAAATTCCGCAGGAATAATCCACGTTTTTACCTGTTTCGAATTGGAATTTAGACAGTTTTATCAGATCAATTCATAAAAAATGCAGTTCTCTTCAATATTTCCAGTATACATTTTTATTCAATAACTAAATGATATATCAGAGTAATTAATTACCTCATCAGCGTTCAAGAATCCATCCCCATCTTTGTCTCTATACAAGGAAAACTGTTCTTTCTCATTCTTTACCCATTCTGGTTCGTCTTCACCTTCTTCGCCTCTGTACATATCGCCTGTAGAAAGAGATAAAAATTTAAAATTAAAAATTCAAGAACTGTTTAAGCTGCCTTTTAGAGCGACATTGTAGTGAAAATTTAATAATTATACATTTAATTTTAGTTATAGATTTTGTATTATATTAGCAAAAAATACCTAGCTTGAATAGTTTATGTTTTCTATTACTAATAAAAATTTTTTTAATCTATATATCTTTTCTAGAATTCTTCATACATGTAAATTTTAAAATATTTTAAGATTTCTAAAATTTCTAATAAAATCTTATATCTCTGAAAAAGTATAAATATTTTTTCAGAAATTACAGAATTAGAAATCTTAGAATATTACAGAATTTATATGTATATGGAAAACTAAGAAAAAGATAGATTTCTCAATATTTCTGAAGAATGTTCTAATTAATGTAAAAAACTTGAGGAAAAATTTTTATCATTTCCTTACCAATATATTCTGCAAGGGATATCTTTCCATCTTGATCCTTATCAATATCCTCCATCGTTTCCAGCACTATCACATCCTTCATGTGCTCTGCATCTTCCGCATGAAGGAAGGCAGTAAATTCCTCTTTGGTCAGAGCATCATCGCCATCCAGATCCGCAGTAGACCATCTTCTGCGGTCTCTTTTGTACATTTGAGCATACGAGAACGACTCATCTGTTTTGTCACTCTCCCGCTTTTCTGCCTCTTCTTCCTCCATATCGCCATAAACCATGTCTTTGTATTCTGTCCAAGTCAATTTCTCCTTTCCTATCGAATTGTGGGATGCCCACTGACGTTCCACGTCATCCCTGATGTAACGTTGCTGTGTGTACATTATCCAATCCTTAAGTTCCTCTTGCGTCACATAGCCGTCGCTATCCTTATCTATTTTATCGACAATTATCCCTAATCGCCTGGTACTTTCCTCGGGAGTCAATTGATCAAAAGTTTTGGCTTCTTCTCCGAGGAAAGCTTCATGATCATAGGCCGGGTTGTGTTGGGAGTGGACATAGTGATCTTTACTGCCTGCATCCTAGAATACAATGCATTTTGTAAGTTTTTGAATCATTTCTTATTTTATTCCTTACAATCATAACTATAACAAAAATTTTGAATAAAGATAATACAGTTTTATATATTGAAAAAAGAAAGATGGAATGCAGTTAAGACTTTATTGATCAATTTTATGAAGAAAATTGGAATAATTTAAAATGTTTTAAAATATTTTTGTGCTATATAATACAACACTGTGAAGGAACAATAAGTTGAAGAAACATTATATCCTGCATTGTCCAGTGATATTTTGTAAGAAAACAATGCAAATGTCACATTATCTACCAATAGAACTTCACTTTTCTGTCATAGAAAAAAAATGCTTTAAATGTTAGGACTGATTTTTATTTGATCAATTATAGAATCCGAGAACAATTATCAAAGGCAATTTATGATTTCTCTAACCTTATTCAAAATGCGATGCTCGCCGTCCGGGATCACCTGCTTCGGGATCGCCGTAGCTAGGATGGAGAAAATGATTAGGATTTGGAGGAACATGAGCGCTCGCATTCCACAGAGATCGTGCACCGGGGCGAAGGAAAAAAAAAGGAAAAGATACAATGGAGAGAGAAAAGGGGAGAGATCGTCGACCGAGAGACTCGGAGAATTTACGGGACGTCTCTCTTATTTTACGTCGGAATGAAGAAACGGTATAGACGAGTCAAGAATCGAAACGAGACCTCTCTTGGCACGGCTCGCGCGACTTCCACATCAGCAAGAAAGATCGTAACGCAATATACACCCCCACCTCGTCGCGCTCTTTATAGGAGGACGCGCCGCGACGACGCTACCGACGCCGACGAGTCGCGTCCCTGCATGCTGATCATACGGCGGACGATAAACGCACGCCAGGCGTTCAGCGGCCGATGCTCCCTCCTGGCCTCCTCAAGAAAACGAATCCACAGTCTCCACGTGGACCGCGGTGATGATAACGGAGGCTTTATTACGGAAATTCTTTAAATAAAGCGCACTCGCGCTTCTTTTTTTAGATTTCTCGATCTCGCGGATCTCGCGAAAGTACATGGAAGAATTATTTTTCGTCGTCAGAAAGAAAAGACTGTAAGGGCAAATTGTATAATTAAATAAATTAACAATTCTACCGATCGTCAATGAGGTAAACAAATCCAGTCGCTAAATGTTCTACAGATTGTATTTTTAAACTTGGATAATTCTCGATCGGTAGAATTATTAATTTATTTAATTAATTTAGTTAATTTATTTAACTAATTCGTTTTTAGTTTTTTCTTTTAACGATAAAAATTGATAATTATGGTAATATATTAATAAAATACTGTAAGTATTATTTGATAATTTAATCGCTGATTAAATTAAAACAGACTACAAAAAATTGTATGTAATAATGTGAGTTTCTAGAAGTTGGCGATTTAAGCGGAGTCAGCAGTTACACAGCTTCAAGAATTTGGGAATTAAATTCGCGTGACTGTAATTTTTTAAACAAACTTTTATTTAAAACAACAATGTGCCGGTTCTATACTAGTCAAATGTCTGTATTTTTTTTATTCCATTTTAAATCTTTGTACCTACAAAGTACTATTATAGTTTAAATGTTTATCATGTACTCATTGAAAATGTTTGATCATTATGTTACAATGGCACATATACATACAGTATTATTTTACAATACCACACAGAAGGTAGAAGCAATAGAAGCAACAATTTAAGTTTACATTCAACTATAATATGAACTGAATGCAAGAATCAAAATTAATTTTAATTTTCAATAATTCACTGTTTTTAGCATTGTTAAAGCAACCTCTAAACAATTTTCAAAGCTATTTTTACTGGTAAAATATTGGTAGACCAATCATAGATTATATCTAAAAATGTAAGTGAAAAATGTACACAATCTAGATAATATCTCTGTACAATTGTCTATTGGTTAATGGTATGTTCACATTGATGAGCTCTGCAATCTTATGTTTCTTTGCTTTTTGGGAATACCAGTTCTTCTAAATTCACTCCTTTCCTCCAGATACTGCTCTGTACATTCTTTAATAAAGTCTTGATTGTAGAACCACTTCTCCATACAGGCCTTCATCTTATCATTTTCTTTCCTACATTTTACCACGTGCAGTAGACCAGTTTTGAGACAGCAATCGTGAAATTCTATGGAAAAGAAGATGTTTCTTACATTTGACTCTCACTGAAGTAAATCCAAGTAGCAAGATAATGTTATTTGTCATCACATAATTTTGTTATGATTTTAATAACATCTTGATATCAAAATGATAACAAAAATAATAGCCAAAGGAGACCATTAAATCTTAAAGAGCAGAAATATAATTAAACTCATATAAATAGGCAATGTTTAATAAGTATTTACAAGAAATTAATTTTGGAAAAGAAAAAGAATTGGAAGTGGAAGTTATACAAAGATTTTCTGAGAATCCAAATGCTAGTATTATAAATTTAAACTTGTTCAATTTGTAGAATCAGTTTATAATTGTAAGAGAAAAATAAAATAAATTAGTAAATTAAATGTGATTTTTTAATTTATTTGCTAGCAATTAATTAAAAATAATAAAATAAAAGCAAATCCAATAATTCATACCATTTGACTACTCTCTCTCCCAAGTTCAAGTCTTAAATAAAATCCTATACAGCTATAACAACAAATAATGTTATCTGGAAAATAATTTATCCAGGTAAATTATCTGATTCAGATAAATTACCTTTAACCTCGTTGACACACTTTTCGGATTTGGTTCTCTCTCGCATCAACTTAGGTACCAACACATCTTTCTCTACCTTCCTTAAACTTTTGTCGTTAGGATCACCTGAAATAAATATAAACATGAAATATCACAACAGCCTGAAAGAAGGAGAGATTATGAGATCCCAGCGAATACATCAATTGCTAAGTAAGAAATATTAATTTTTTATTATCAGCGGATTTTAGACTTCAAACACGAAAAGTATAAAAACCTCGTCGCCGGTCGCGCTCAACTCTCTTGTTGAGATTAAAAACTCTAACCTGTCATTAATAGTCCTCGACATTCCACACTGGCGACAAAGTTATTTAACGGCGCATGTTCGCGAAGAACGCGTCGGAATAAAAAGTTTACCTAATCCCTTCGGTCCTCCGCCAAGTTTCGGCGAAAGCACCGAGTATTCCTTCATGCTGTTGGAGCTTTCGGAGTAGAATAGCAGACACAAATGTGTTTTTACAGCTAAGTTGAAAGATCTTTCGCTTCCACCACTACTTATCCGCATCCATTACATGTGTGTCAAACCACGTGATCGACTGTCATAACAGATTCGTGTGTTTAAATGTAATAAATATAAAAAGACATTTTCGTTCGTACTTTTATATAAAATGCTTTCGAAATATCTTTACGATGAAAGTCATAAAATAATATTCTAAATAAAGTTGAACTTTTTATATATTTTATTATTTTATTGATACTATGCTTAAAAAAAAAAAGTCGATTTTTCTTAGGAAAGAGAATTTAAAACTCAAATTCGCGGGAAAAACATTTATATGTATTTTTATGTGAGTTCTTATTGTGATTGTGAGTCGAGAGAATCAAGAGAAATTGAGACAATAAATAAAATGTAAACGATATATAATATTACATATATATATTAATATAAAATGTACGATAAAATGTAATATACGATTTGACAGTTTTGTGTCGCCGTCTTGCAACACTAGGCAGCAAACCAGCAGGTTGCGTTCGTGATTGTGCACATTTGAGAGAGACTTGTCATTGTTGATTGGAGAAGAAGGAACGCTCGTTCGTTCTGTCGCGACAAAGCGAAAATTCTGTTGCTGAAGACGAGTAATCGTAAGAACAACTTATATTCTAATCTGATAAGAGTCATGCGTCACTTTTGAACTGTAAATCGTCAAGGGATAATAAGAAATCCACGTAGCGTTCTTTTCCTAACCTCTAAATGTTAGCTTGTACGTACACACATATAACATATGACATATCGGATTTCCAAAGGTTTTGTGATGTAATTGTACAATGTGTTTCAAATATTTGCAGAGTGTAAAAGTTGAATAATACATCAGAATGGACAGACTGTTGCGACTAGGCGGTGGGATGCCAGGCCTAAATCAAGGGCCACCACCTTCTGATGCACCCGTTGTAGACACAGCTGAGCAGGTATTTATCATTTAAAGCTTTCTATTTTTTTGTTTCCTTCATGTTGCCTAATTTTTTTGCATTATTATAGGTGTACATATCGTCCTTGGCTCTTTTGAAAATGCTTAAGCACGGCCGTGCCGGAGTACCGATGGAAGTGATGGGTTTGATGTTGGGTGAATTTGTTGACGATTATACTGTTCGCGTTATCGACGTCTTTGCTATGCCGCAAACAGGAACGGTAATTGTTAAGATATAAGCGAGAAAATTCATAAATTATTTTTGTAAATGTCATTTGTTTTCTTTTTTATGTTCTCTTAGGGTGTTAGTGTAGAAGCTGTAGATCCAGTGTTCCAAGCAAAGATGTTGGACATGCTAAAACAGACTGGTCGGCCAGAAATGGTAGTTGGCTGGTATCATTCCCATCCAGGATTCGGATGCTGGCTGTCTGGAGTGGACATTAATACTCAACAGTCCTTTGAGGCTCTTAGTGAAAGAGCGGTAGCTGTTGTCATTGATCCTATACAATCAGTGAAAGGAAAAGTTGTTATTGATGCATTTAGACTAATAAATCCTAACATGATGGTAAGTATATTTGTGGTAACTCTATGTTCTCCAACTTGTAACTCTGTCGTACCGATTGCAGGTTTTAGGACAAGAACCCAGACAAACGACGTCGAATTTAGGTCACCTACAAAAGCCGTCTGTTCAAGCGTTGATACATGGATTGAATCGGCATTATTACAGTATTAGTATTAATTATCGCAAGAACGAACTGGAACAAAAGATGCTGCTAAATCTTCACAAAAAAACATGGATGGATGGTCTTACTCTTGCCGAATATTCGGAACACAGTCGACTTAATGAGAATATTGTTTCTGAGATGCTTGAACTTGCGAAGAATTATAATAAGGTGAAACATTGCACTGCAAGCGTAATTCGAAAGCTTTACATATATATTTGTATAATATATGTGTATTGAATATATACAGCTATACATTTTTGTATGGTATATGTATATTGAATATATTAAATATCTTTTATGACAAAGTTTTGTTTTTGTAGGCTTTGGAAGAGGAGGAAAAGATGACACCCGAACAATTAGCGATAAAGAATGTGGGCAAGCAAGATCCAAAACGGCATTTGGAAGAGAAGGTCGACACATTAATGGCTACAAATATTGTTCAGTGCTTGGGAGCTATGCTCGATACAGTTGTATTTAAATAACTTTTCCGATACATCACTTGCAATATGATATTTAAAGGAAATATACATCTTTTTAAAATAGAAATATATGACGTTTTGTTATTTTTCAAAGTGGACACAATGCAAAACACGAATTAATACATGGGTGCTATTCTTATCACGTTTTTATGAAAAAATATGTTTTCTTTATAAAATTTTGATATAATTATCAAATTGAATAAACATTGTTATAAATTATAATATGTAAATGTTTTTATATATATAAATGTTAATGGATAAAAGATGAGGCATACAATAAATATTGCTGACGTCTAATATGGAATAAGTACAATATATAACAAAAAGAAAACAGAAAATAAGATATTTATAATTATGATATTGATACTGGAAACATCTGTGAATACATTGTGTAATCTATCATTAATTATATTCATAATATAATCATATAGATTCGCATAATGTAAACATAAAAAATGCATTAATTACATAAATATACTCTATACATGATTCTTGTTTTCGCGTGATAAAAAGTTTATATATATATATATATATATACACAGTATAAAAAAATTTTTTGAATTTAATTTACCAAAACTCAATAAACTAGAATACTAATTTAGACTTATACATTCGTATTTGAGAGAGAGATATGCGATAGATAACATAAGAGAAAGATTAGGAAACGTAAATTAAAGAAACAGAGATAGTTTGCATTCCTTTAGATTTTCAGAATACAAACCTTTTGTAAAATCAAGCAAATAGTGTATAATATATAAAACTAAAACATTCTCTCTTAACATATACTTATTGTTAGAAGAATAATGATGTATAATTCAATAAAAAAAATAACTGTACATTCATTCTGTAACAGTTTCATCTAAAATTTTTCATTTTTAAATATCGATCTAACTCGACATAGGTTCTTGATCTTTATCCTTCTTTTTCTTTTTCTTCTTCTTTTTCTCTTCTTTTGTCATAGATTCCTATATAACACATATAAGTATTTTATAATATAATAAATTTTCAAATTACATATATCTAATTGTGACAAAAAATTCAATTACCCCACTGGTAACTTCTTCCATTACAACAGACTCTTCGCCTTCCGTCTCATGTTTCTCCTTCTTCTTCTTCTTTTCTTTTTTCTTTTTTTTATCTTTCGGCGATGATGTTTCTAAAATCTCCGACGTTTCTTGTTTTGCTTCGTCTACTATACTTGTATCATTTTCTCTCTTCCTCTTTTTACTAACAATTACGTCACCATTCTTTTCCGTCTACATTTATCAAAAATATCTTATTAATATTATATGTATGTGTGTGTGTGTGTGTGTGTGTGTCTGTGTGTTTATAAAAAAATATTGGAAGACATTAGAGTAATCGACTTGCCGTTGTTGAAGTCAATGAAGCAGTTGTCACTGATGATGTTGCTAGATTTTGATAATCTTGATAATTATGTGACCATTCAGGAGGTGTTTTTTCATTTGGTTTTCCATATTTATCTAACAATCCTTCAGCTACCATACGTTTTTTCTGCGATGCTTTTGGTCCTAAACCCCATTTTCTTGGATATGAATCTCTCTCCATGATTACCCTTTTCAGTTTTGCAACTACTCCATGATCACACGCGGCCATGGTTGGAGAAGACATCAAAGCTATAGCTGAGATATATGTAAGATAAAAATAAGTATTGTTTGAAGCAATTTGAAGATCATATATAAGGATATGTATTACAAAGATATAAATATAAAAAATAATAAGATGAATATTAAGTTAAACAGTTTTAGGGGTGAATAATACGAGAAGTTGAACACTGTTGAGTTAAGCATTACCGTTACATTAAAAATATATTTACCAACTGCTACAGCTTCGCCCTTGGTAGTTACGATTACAATTTCCTCATTCAATTCTATCCCTTGGTCATACATCAAAACGCCTGGTAACATTATCTTAGCTCCGTAACAAATTGCATTTACCTAATAAATTTATACAACATAAAGCTGTTATAATAGTTTCCTTTCTATTCATTATTTTATTCATAACATTCGTTTTTCTTGCAAGAGGTAAAACGAGTGGAATACATACAGCGCTGTCCTTCATGATGATTCTTTTGTGATTTATTAGCAATGATTCCAATGGTCTTATAACTCTTCTCAGATAAGATTCATCTCCATGATTGTCATATAGCCATTGGGCATCTAGAATATCCTGCATACTGACCATACCATCCTGTTCAGATAAAACGCCAGAACGACTTCTTCGAAGTTCTTGCATGTGACAACCGGTACCTAAGAAGAGCCCAAGATGGACACACATAGTTCTGATATAGGAGCCAGCTTCACAACTAACACGGAATACTCCCATATTGCGTTCCTGGTCATAATCGAGGAACCAACTGTCGTAAACTGTTCTGACGCGGAGCTGTCTCTTGACCGCCGATATAAGCGGCGGCCTTTGGAAGAGAGCACCGCGCAATTTTTCCAAGGCTTGATTCACCTAAATCATCAGTATTAGTGTGAAATCAATATGAAATGCCTTTTGGATATTGATTGTTTATCTTTTGGTTAACAAAAAATGAATATTAACTTTTTCGCATAATTGTCAGGTAGGATCTCATGGATCTAACAATAATTTTTACTAGCTTTGTACATGCTCTTAAGAGGAATAAATAACTACAAATCAGTAATGGAGTGATCACTTGCCAGACAAGAGACTTGGTCACTATTTGATTTCCAGTCATACATATTATCTATATATTAATTTATTTGTAAAAATATTTATTTATTCTATGTCATATTGAATCATATTTGTTTAAATATTTATTTATTCCATTTTCCATAATGATCCATATTTACCTTTTGAATACTTTCTGCGGCAGAATGAAGCTTAAATACAGCAACATATTCCTTTCCGGCAGACTGCTGTGACTTGGCTAGTCTTGTTGCTCTATCTATGCAGACTATCAAACATCCTGATACCTTGGGATCCAATGTACCAGAATGACCAGTCTTCTCCACTCTTAAGATTTTCTTTATCCAAGCTACTACTTCATGCGATGATGGATTACATGGTTTGTCCAAATTGATGCAGCCTGATTTTATATACTCTGATAAGCTTCGATTTAGTGGGGTAGAACCACTGGTTAATGGAGTAAAATGCTTCGTGCGTGTCAACATTTTATCAAAATTCTGCAATAAGAAACAAATAAGAAATTTATCTCTCAAATCTTTCAAGTTATATCATGTAATTGTTGCGATCATGTGAAATATAAAGATTTATTGAAGTAAATACTACCTTAAATAACAGAGGCCAGTCTTTACATTCAAGTTTCACCTCCATTTTCGAAGGTTCGATCTCGTATTTAGTCGTCATCTTCTTATCCTTTTTCTTACTTTTCTCTAAAAGAAAATTAAAAGATATAGCCTAATCTACCCTAACCTCTACTTACTAAACAAAGCAAACTAGTTTTCACGTGTTATATTTATCGAAATAAATGTAGCGGGCAGTGTTTCTTGATTTGTTAGCTTTTTGTTAGCTTGTTTTAATATTTTAAATAGTACTATCATTGTAGGCGACCGATATTGCAATGAGCGGACACGTGTTCACCATAGGATTACTATATAAATACATAACAGAAACGACGCAATCCGGAATAATGCAGATAGAAGTCGACGCAATATTAAAAGAAGTATGAGAACGATATCACTTACCTTCTTCCATTTCAAAATTTGTTAAAACTGGAATGCCGAAACTTTGTTAAACTGGTAAAACATTCACTGAAATGGAAGCAATACGCCAATGCGGTACGGCGCCAAAAATGGAGCAAATACTCGCGAGAAAAGAAAGTGCCGAGCGGAGCAGACTCCGCTAGGACGGGAAGGAGGGGAAGGGGGTAGGAAAATGCATCTGCGCAGAAGTCGCGAAAAGGCGCCGAGTTTGAGAATAGAATTGGCTGCGTTCAGCAGAAAAAGCAGCTTTACAACTGTTATAAAATTCATGAATATGATTGACTTATACATTTAGATCTAATAAGGAAGTAAGGGTAATACCAATTATATTAAAAAATTTTACAATTGTTGCAAAGCTGCTTTCTCTGCTGGAACGCAGCCATTTATAGCAGGCATTGCTGAAAGTGAGGCTGCTTTCACATGCAGTGTAATTTGCGTAAGCGCAACTTGTATCAATCAATCAAATTGTATCATTAACTACTTCCTTATTCTTGTTGAGACAATTTGATTGGCTGACGCAAGTTACGCTGCATGTGAAAGCAGCTCAGTATTCGGTGTCAAAGCGCTATTGTTTGTTTGTTTGCGCTTTCGTTTGTTTGTTTTTTTTTTTTTTTTGTTGAAACTCCGTTTAACTTAACCATTCCAGTAACTTTGTAGTATTGACCAACTGTATTTATCATTTAGTTTTGACGACAGACGCGATTGGTCAATTCTAATGGACTAATCGGCCGATTAAGTTGGTGAAAGTAGCCGTAAGGAAAGGATAACGTAACTTTAGCGTTCACACTTCACCGTATCTGGAATAAACGGTATTGCAAAAACTCCCTAATAAGTAATATCTCAAGAGATCGAAGAATATTCTTAAATTACTTTCATATAGATTTTGATGCTTGTTAATTAATACTGATGTAATTACAAATAGTTTGTTTTTCCTTATATTTTAATGAATAAACCTGTTTGTTATTACAATGTTCATTGCGATAAGAAACATGATTATCGTAATGACTTCAAAAATCAGATCGCATTATTTAATTTAGTGTCACTACTGTGCGTATAATGTGTGTAGGAGCAGAAGTTTCTCTCTTGTAGATTGACCGATTGGTTTGTTTTTGGAGCTTTTATCTATCTTTTGTGGATAAAGCCTGATGTGGAAGGTTGGAAGTGTCCAGGTGTCTTGGATATGACTGGCTATGTTTACTTCGTCTGCGAGGATCTGGCCTAACTAAATATAGAAGAAGAAGAAGACGATTGACTGATTTTGTGAGATTGATAAATATATAAAACGGATACGACAAAAGACTGAAGAAAACAAAAGATAACGTGAAATTAAAAATGCATCCGTACTGGATTTTCTGCCGTAGGAGAGACACGAGAAAGTATATACTCCTATACTACACTTCGTTTGTTTAACGCGTCAGATGAATTAAGATAATTAACATTGTTACTCCGCAATCCCGACTAGTCCCGACTAACAATAATAATAATTTGTCATGGGTGAGCGAATGTCAGACTAATTGGCTCCTTTTCCAGTACGACGATCATGCGTCCCTGTAAAGCTTATTTTACCCGTACCAACGCGAAAGTTTATTTTAATACAGCTGATGTAGCGAGCAAACCGAGTTATTTCGGGCCTGCGTCCATTGCTAATGTCTAATCTCAGGTTCACAGACCGATTCCTACCGATCTCGATGTTGAAAGTCACTCCCTGGCTCCGGCACTTCCCGGAGTACTCTAATTAATTTTACATTTCAAACATGGATCCAGATCCTGTAGAGATGGCGAACGAGGTCAAAAGCAAAATCATACTGCATTGGAACTGTCGGGGTCTCATGGAGTTTCCGGAGGTAATAAGACAACACGGCAGTCACATTCAAGAGATATATCTGAAGTGGAACAAACTGACCACTCTGCCACCGTGGATCACGGAGCTGTTCAATGTGACCAACTTGTACATGTATGGCAATCGGATTGAACAGTTACCTGTGGAACTCGGTGAGATGACTCAGTTGACAGTGCTGGATTTAAGTGCCAACAAATTAGAACTGATATCTGGCTGCATCGGCAATCTGAGCAATCTAAAATCCTTATACTTGAATGACAACTTTATAAAGAGATTACCAATTGGTAAGTTTAAGACTACTAGATTGTTGCGTTTAAAGGGGAAAAAAGAGGTTTATTGACTCACATGAATGAAACAAAAACAGAGTTGAGCCAACTGAATAATCTGGAAATACTGTCTGTCTCGGGTAATCAGATTGTCGCACTGCCGGAGTGGACCGGTTCTCTTCCAAGACTTCAAGAGCTATATGTGGATAACAATCGACTGAAGGAATTACCTAACAGATTGACCATAGCTCCTGAACTTACCATGATCTCTGTGTGTTCAAACAGGTTGCTATTTCTATTAATATATGAATAAATATTCTAATTATTACAAATCAAATTATAAAAAGTCTAATATTCATAATCTGTTTTTAATTTTAATATCATTTTAAATATTGTCTTAAAATGTCATAAACCAATCAAAGACCGATATTCACAGTCGATTCTTATGTTTAAGAGATTGTCTTATATACAGTGTCTTAAGATATCATGAATCAATCAAAGAGTCACATTAGCATCTTAAGACATTGAGCTCCTCGCCCTGATGAAATAAATAACAAAGTTGATGAAATGTTGGCATTAACAATGGATCATGTCACAGTGATAATTTCATTCAAGCAAACCTTTTAGTACATCTCTTAAGATTACTTAAGATGGTCTCGAAATAACAACAAATTATGAATACAAGCACAAATTAATCGAGTTACGAATTTTGTATTTCAATAAATGTTTCTGCAGGTTGAAATATTTGCCACTGAATGGATTTCTATCAGCTCCCTGTATACGATTCGATGCAAACGAATACTTAAATTATGTATCGTATCCGCTTCTATTTCAATTACTTTCGCAACTACGCACGACGGTTGTTCGCGACAGAGAATGTTTGGCATTCGGGTAAGCACGTTAGAGTGTCAAATAGGAATAAATTATGCGCAAATAAAAAAATAAATCCTGACAATTGTTATTTTACTTTTGAAGTCTGTATAAAGTAAATTTACAATTTATGTACATATAATCACAGATGTTTTAAGACGCATTATGACACAAATATGCTAAACACAAATACAAAATTGTACATAAAAATGAAGGGTCTACATGAAATAAATGCCGATGTTATAATCGAATTACCACGGCAAATGCTAAAGATTCATGAAGTTCATGAAAACGTGACTTCTTCTTTGTTGGAATTAGCGCTAAGGAAAGTTTATACCGAAAGGTAATTAAGGAACCTTGTAAACAGGAATCTTGTCGTCTTTTTGCAAAAATATAAGTATCTCGCAGGTTTAATGTAAATACATTTCAGATATAAGCACACGCTCGACGTTTCCGTTTCTCCTGCAAACGTAACAATACTCTACAAACCACTTAAAAATATTGAACTGGACTTCACACTGTCTACGAGTTATACTTTGTACAATTTATTAACAAACGGGCCCACTGGTATCTGCATAAATTCTCAATGCCAGCAACCGATATTCACAGAAGCTTGGATTATTGTCGGTGTCAACCGTTATGCAGAATCTATGATAACGATCGCTTTATGTTGTAGCAGAAGGTAACATACAAAATAATCATGTAGTACCTGAGTATATCAGTTTGTGAGTTTTTTTAATTTGCAGTTGTGCTACTGCGTTTGCTGCACACTCAAGTACAACGACTATTAATCTTCATTGGCACTCCATCAATTGATGAATCCTCCTAACTGGGTATCTAATCAATCCGCTTCTGTATATATAATGTTAAGAGAATAAAAAAATCTTGCGCGTTCAACTGAAATCTTGTGTCAATAAGTTTTTAAATTAACTCTTTAACTTATTGTAATTGTAATTTATTTCGCAGCATCATGGCTATCAAGAACGATTATTCAATAATGCCTAGTAAGGAATTTAAATTCCATGACATAATGACGAATCAAATAAAATTATTACATAATGTCATTGAATGTAACTTCCTTAAGGTATTCAAGACTAGTCTCACTGATAACATTATCTTTCTTTTTATTAAAATATACGTTTGTGATTATGACTTGATGGATCATGCGTTATATAAAAATTCTGATTCGTTATGTTTTTTTCGCATTAAAGTTGAGTCACAACAAAAAATATTCTACATTCTTTCCTAGATGGCGAGTCAATCGTCTATTCAAGCGATCAGAAGATCTAACGCCTTGTCACGATCAAAGTTACACTTTACTAATGCCGCGGAAGCTTTGTCTTCGGGAAATCCTAGATCCTTCAACGTGCATAAATTCTCGTAGTAGATCTTCGCTTTGGATTGATCGTGCTGTGCGAGCGTTAACGCTGTTTCGGCATAGTCACTAGGAACGCCAGTCTCTTCTAAGGATTGGACGGCCAATAGGTACTCCACGATCTTTTTTTCGTGCACTCGACCTAATTTCAGTACTGCACGTGCCGCTCTGCATTTGGGAAATCCCATGTCGCTTAATTGCATAATCAACTGTAGATCATCCTCCGCCATGCCTGATAACAAGTCTGTTAGCGGTTTTGCGTGATTCGATGACATTGAGTTATCGTGCTTCGGAACTACATGCTCGTCACTGTCTGGACTTTCCAAATCAGGCCACGGCTTCCAATTCTGTTACAAGGAAGAATTAATAGAATTCAGTTGTACTTACACACACTGTAGAGAAAAAAAAAGTTTATTACCTCCATAACAGGCCGTTCTAATTCCTTTTGAAGCTCCTGCATTATTATTGAAACGCTACGGTGATTTTCGATGCTATGTGTGTCCGTGTCAGCTTTGTCATCTACTTGACTCTCTGTATCAGTTTCTTCCTCCTTACAAATCTCAGATGTATCATCAATAGTTAGTTCATTTATAATGTTCTCGAGTTTTCCTGCAGGTATCCATTGTGACCTAGGTTGTAAAACCTGCAAAAGATATTAAACATTATGACAAGAATCGTCTGCTACGTGTCTGCAATCATTTGCGATGCTTTTTAAGAGTCTTAGGCAGTAACAAATGTTTCATCAACCTGTGCCAATTCTTCCATGTCATTAATAGTTTTCAATTCCATATTATCAAAAGGACTGCTCGTATCATTATCAAAGTCAGCGAAGTCCAAACCTCCGTTGGTTTTTACATGATCTTGAAAGTCATTTGCTGGAGGTGACAGCGGCTGCGGCATGAGTATTGCCGCTTCTGGAGCAGGTGACGCATTGATAGGTAAATGCTTCACGCAATCCAGTGGCGGAGGCGATGAAGGAGTCTCCTCTTTCTCCTTCTTCTTCTTTTCTTTCAGCCGAGTTTGACGTGCCTTGCTATAAGCCTGTCTAGCCTTGCGCCATTCGCACATCTAATTACAAATTAATAAATTTATAATAACTAGGTCAAGAACAAGTCCTCAGAAACCGTTGACCAGGTTACAAAATAATTTGCAGACATTACTTAGAATATTAAGATAGCTAAACAATTATGGCTCCTACCTTTTCAAGTACCGATTTCTCCAAATTAAAGTCGTACATTAACTTTGATACATCCGGTAATCTATTATTATACGCCACGGGTAGACCAATCTTCCTCGGTGGTTTGTAGGCTTCTGCGATTTTGACATGAACTCCGTCCATGTAAGACGAAACCAAGTCGCATTGCGCCGACACGGATGATCGAGCCATTGATTCTTATCCGAAGGAAAATCTGGAAAACGCTACGAAATATCGCGCGACTTGCAGCGGAGATCCGTCGCTTTAATCGTCGATGCACGGAGCATAACCTATTTTCCGTTGAAATAAATATCATTTAATCGCTCGCGTCACATGCCACTGATACATTTCGCGCGTATGTGATTACGGTTTAATTAAATATTAAATTCCTTCTCTTTCTCTCTTGCTTTTTTGTAGCTGGAAAATCTCAATTAGTATCTCTCTAATGGTTGCAATGGTGAAAAATAACTCCATTTGACACACTTGACAAATCAAATTCTCTTCTCGTCATCGTCGTTGCGAGAATATCGATCATATCGATTGTCAGATGCCAGCAAGATAACAAAAAGAAAGGTTTCAGATATCGATATTCAATATACTATCAACTATCATATTCAAATCTTTTTTGTATCTTAGGTGTATCCATATTATTATTTTTATTTTCTATTTACTTTTTTATTTTATATTTAATAATTAAAAAAGTATAAATATAAGTTAAATAAATATTTTTTTTAACTATTTGTAAATAATAGCTATATATAGTTGCGTAGATAATTTTCGTGATTAAAACTATTTGACATCAGGTCTGGAAAATTAATAAAAAAATATGCACATTATCGCACTGTAACTTATTCGACTGTTTTCAATAATCTAATTTCTTGTTTTTGAATTTTTTATTTTATATTAGAAATTCTATACATATTTATATTAATTTTATTTGTATTAATGACAACGCTATAAAAATTGAAGGATCGCGGTTACCATATAAACAATATCATAATATATAATATCTGTATGTATAATATATGACGAAGTATATCACACTTTGACTATATAAACAGATATTACAATATATGTATATCATCAACTGAGACACTTCAGTCTCATGTGATCCGCATCGAATATAATAAATCAAAGTTACGCTTATAAAAATATACTTTATATAACGACTTCAAAGAATATTTAATATTATATATTACACAAACTATTTGTCAAAATTGCAGAAAATTAATATGTCATAAAAGATTCCATTTATATTAACAGTTTCCCCGGACTATTAATAAAATACTAAATATTATGACATTGATATTAATATTAAAATTAAACAATTATAAAAATAGATGAAAAATTATTTACGAGATGATAATAATAAATAAAAATATTTAAAAAGAAATTATATAGGTAAATATATATGGTTTGTATCACACGCATTTTGTGTTTCTTTAATTACTCGGGCTCGGGATCAATAGTATCGTAAGGTGGATGTGTTGAATGAAATCGTCTTTTAAAAGTGTCCATCAATTTTTTAATAAAATTTTTATGCTTTTTTATCGACTCTTGAATTGTCCAAAAAGTATCTAGACCTAAGTGGTCGATAATTCTCATTGAGAATCTTTGCACCTGAAACAGATTATAATTTAAAATGTTAATAATTAACAATTTATTATTTATGTAATAATTTAATAAAATATAACTTTTAATTTAACATAATTTTAACAAATAAGTATATAATATGCACAAATAGTATATCTATATGTGATTAACTCTAGAAGTAGATATATATAATGTGTACGTGTTAAAAAAATTGTCTTTTATTTACGGATAATATACATATGTAAACATTTTCGTAAATCGACTGAAATATTAAGCCAAGATGTCTAGGATGATCTTCTTCAAATTTTTTAGGTTTATTTTTTAGATTATATTGGTTTAATATTAGTTTTTTTGTGTAAATATTAAAAGGATTCACAAATTAATAATAAATCGATGAGAATATTGCAAAAATGCAACCGTAATTATAATTATTTAGGTAAAATTGGATTAATTTATAGTTCTACACGAACAATGGTTTTTATTTTAAGTGCTAGAATTAATAAGTCACTTTAAATACGTTAATATAGTATTATAAAATTTACCTTCTCAATTTGTTCGTCAGAATAAATGTTTTCAAGAATCTTTGTTATTATTGCACTTATAGTAAGTAATCTATAGAAAAATATATTATAATTAAGAAATCTTTGAAGTGTACATATTTAAAAAAATATATATATATATTTAGAAAAGTTATGTTACTTGGGTTTTAAGATCTCAAAATTTGTTAATATATGATCAAGGATCAAGTCGTTGCGCGCATGCTTCTCAATAATATATATAAAGGCAAGACAATGCTCCTTATCGGGAAATGATTTGGTAAATGCTGTAATATTTAAATAGTTAATGATGATATCGGGATTTTCAGCGCAACTCAAACTTTTTAGTAATCGTTTTTGAAATTTATCCGTTTTACGATCTTTTTTTAAATAAATTTCCAACATTTTATCCCAAATAGTTCTATTGGCTGTCATCAAACCAGGACAGTATACAAAATTTTGATATTGTGGAATTCTAAAACACATGTTTGTCAAGATCAAAATATATATACGTTTCATGTGTATAGCCAACTTTACATTCATATTTTTATATTATATACATTTTATATTAAACAATCTTAATTATATATACTTTGCGCGTAAAATTAAATTTTGTTCTACGCAATTCGGTGTCATTTCATTTATTATATGCAACCAAGTAATTATATCATACCATAGTAAAGAAATAAATAAAAGAAGATTACATCGACAAATGACGCTTGTCCATTTATTATGTAGGTATTTTCACTTATACGCAACGGTATATTTAATCTATTATATGTGTACTATATCATTGAAATAAAAATAGGAATTTTTTGAGGGAAAAAAGTAAGGAGAATATGTTTGATCTTGACGATTTAATGAAACAGAGAATCGGCTATCTACATATATGCACGCGTACACAGACACAATTTACGAGATAATCGTGGAGTAAGAAAACTTACTTATGAGTCTTGGGATCCTCGAGATGTTTCCTCAATTTAGTGGCAGCTATTTCCTTACATTTCATGTCACCGAGAGTACATGCAAGTTTTAAAGCATTTGCCCTTATAAGCGTAATGATATGGTTCTCATTAGGTTCTTCTTCGTATCCTGTTTCGATAAGTAGTCTACCTAAGAGCTCTTTCATACGCAACTATAATAGAAATCATGAAATATTGTGTTGATTTTATAATAATTTATTGATATTTTTGTTAGTTTTTAGATATGTTCAGAATCATATATGCGAGTATTTATTATTATTAAGCTTTACTAATTTAATACATTCACATATTACATGAGTGATAAATAAAGCTGCGTCTTAGTTTTAATTATAACATATACATATATATATGTATATGTATATAATTTGAAAACTAAATTCAAACAATTACCTATGTTATAATAGACTCATTTAAACATAGAATAAAACATCACGGTAATTTTGGAAAAAGTGTTGATAATTTATCGCAATTTCAGCGGCATTTGTCACTAATTTTAATAGAATATTCTACGTTGAATAATTATATTTTAATTTTCAGCTACTTTAATTTCTATATATTAGTATTAAAAATACAGAACTCACAAATCCAAATAAATTTGTGAAATTAGCACGCTGTTTTATCAATATAAAAAGAGTATTAATGATAGTTCTATAGTGGCACTATATGGCTTTACATATACTATAATTCTTGTATATAGTTGATCCTTATATCGAAACAACAAAAGTGTTTTTATATTAAAATCCGTGTTTTTTATATTAAAATATTAATTATTACTTTATCTGTCATAACTAAAAGTAGTTGCTTCTTTTGTCGTTGCAAATTAGCTTAACTAAGTTTTAATAATAACATGTATTATAACATTATTACTTTGAATTTTTTATTATTGGACACGTTACAATTTATTTCTTCTATAACTGACAAGATTAATTGTGCTTATTACACCAACATTTTAGACTAGAAACTTACATAGAATTAAAAGAAGATTGTTTAACTTAATCAAGATTATATGTAGTAATTTTAACTTATAATAATGATCATATACTTTATATATTTTATGTAATATTGAAAATGATTCGATCGGAGTCGAAACGTTTGTTTTAGTAATGTTTATATAATGATTGTTTGAATTAAATTATTTGTTAAATTACTTGGCTCTTTGCCCTCTTTATATTTATATTATTTTAAAATATTAAATTAAAAATATGGCGTGTTAACATTGCAAATCTAATACTACACTTGCCTTCCAAAGAGAGTACAAATAAAAGAAAAATATTTTTACCTTAATTCTGAACATGTCTGGCAACAAAAGAATCTTCAATAACCGCGTTACAATTCGTAAAAATGTATACCATGGCACATAATTTCTTTCATTTGCTAAATAACTTATAATATTAATAAACAAGTATCCACTCATTTCTTTATTTTCTTCCATCATAAAGAAAAATGCATCATTAATAATTTGAGCACGATTAAAGACATGTATATTCAAGTATTTTCTTCCACTATGTAAGTAATTTGAAATTTTATGCCAATTTTTGATGTCGTAATTAACACGATAATACCCTGTAACATCATCCATTGTATTCATTATTACGTTTTTTCAATTAAAAACTTTTTATTATATTTTAAAATATAGATATATTATTTTTTTTTTAATAATAAAGAAATATTACGAATACTTTAAAATATTAATTAGAGTGTAGAAAATAGTACAAAAATTATTATAAATCATAAATGATTTTACATTGATAATTAAGCCAGATTTTAAATAATTTAGGCATTAAATATAAAAGTACATATAAAGCTGAACGGTTGTAATAAACTTTTGTCATAATAACAAAAATAAAATAAATGAAGAAGCAGAAAAAATTTGTTAATCCGCACTTACCAGTATGTTGTAAATTAACAATAAACCAATCTTTTGAATTAATTAAAAAAGTTATATTTTGATCTGGTCGTAACCAATGTTTAGGCACAGTATTATTGAAGTATAGATTAGACTGCGTAGTGTAAGTCAAGGGGATCCACCATTTATTAGTGATAGTTTCATTAAATTTCTGAACACATATTTGAGATATTGTTACTTCACCAATTGTATAATTTCTTATTACGTTTACGATAGGGTAACGGTCTTGGTTCATCCAAGTATCCATAACTTCTTTTATTTTGTAATCTTTGTGTAAGACATCAGATTCATCTAGAGCACTTTGCATGGAGCTCCAAAAATCGTCTGAATTAGCCACACCAAATTGGCTAAATTAAAAAATTATTTATTAGGGGCTACGTATACATCAAGGAGTATAAATTTTATTACAAACTACTAAAGGATCTATGTAAATTTATATAATTCAATTTAATTTAATTTACCGATATATGCAACAAAATTTAAAATATAAGATAGAACTAACTTACATTAAATTATAACTAAATAAGAAATAAAGTATGCGATTTTATAATTAAATAGCAACATAAAATGTTGAGTATTTAAGTTCTATAAAATACCTATAAGAGTATATGTATACATACATATATATGTGTATATATATATATATGTTATACTTTATTTTTTTAAATATAAATACAAGAAAAGTTATTATATTTATTTAAATTTAATATTGTGCTATATAATATTACACTACTATATTATGCACACTTACTATCTGGCCAAATACGTAATAAGACCCTTTCGAAATACTTCAGCGGTAATTGTATTATATAACATACGTAATAAAACTGGTGCTGCAAAAATTAGCATCATAAACTGTGTAATATATTAATGATATTGATACATTAAATGCAGATATATATTTATAGTACATAATATATATATGTATAATTATAATATGTAATGTAAATGTATATTGTACAGAAAAAATATTTGTTTGCAGTCTCCATTTATTTGTTTCTTTATTTTACTTATTACTACATACATTAATAAGAAATCTACGAATAATATTCTAATTATATTTACACAGTCCTACCTTTTATATAAACTTCACTACCAAATATTGTCCCATGATCAAGAGTATTATTGTTAAGTTTCAATGTGACAGACTGCATTGTGCCAATATCTTTAAAAAGACTATATTGAATAAATCCAAACATCTGAACATCCTCTTTAAAACCTTTCCAAAACTACAAAAAGAGTTTTACAATGTGACCAAATAAAAAATTCGCATCAAAGAAGAAAACTGATTGATTTGCTACTTCTAATAACTTTTCTATTTTTTTTTCTGTAAATTATATTATCTTTCATGTTAAACGTTTTATAAGAGAAGAGTATATATGGTATATATTGTAGTATGAATATTTTTAAAAATATAGGAAATTACTGAATATAAAAACAATAAATATTATATCTTAAAACCTTATTGTTATTTTGTTTAAAATTTTTTTAAACATTTTGTAAAAGATTTTTTTTAATGTTGAATATATGACGAATGTAGAGAAAATAAAATATTGTATTTTCAAATTTTAATAAAACTATATTACATATTATAAATAATATATAGTATTTAAATATAAAAAATTAAGAATAGCGAATTATTAATGCAATAAATACAAAAAATAAAGTGTCTATATTCTAAAAAAAATTTGTATTAAAATGTTTTATAATTGTTCGCGCGCGCGCGCGAGAAATGTATTATAATCTTTTAATGATTCTAAATTAAACACGTATCGTGCAATCTTTGCTTTACACTTCTATTTTCATATTTATAAAAATTTTTAATTTAATTGCATTTAATATTGATATTACTTTAAAATTAAATTATATAATAATGTTTTTTTAATAGTACATAATAGATATATCTAATAAAAATATGTATATAATGGATCATATTTAATGATTCCTGGTCCTCCAGGTTGGGGATTATAAAGCGTCAGGTTAGTGCGTGCGTGCGTGCGTGCGTGCGTGTGTGTGTGTGTACACATATAATGCTTCTTAAAACTTTTTTTTTAAAGGCAATTATGCATTTAGAATATTAAATAAATAATAACCTTCTCAAGAAGTGTCGTTTCGATAAACATAGTAAGTCCCTCTTTTAACCACTGATAGGTCCACCAAGATGGAGTGACCAAATTGCCAAACCAATAATGTATAATTTCATGTGATACTAGTAATGCTACTTCTGTCGACTTATATCTTGGATGTTTGTTGTCATTATAAAGTAATGCTTCACTGAAGGACAGAATATAACATTAAATATAATTATGTAAAATATTTATTCTGCGAATATGCAGTCTAATGTCTTTTTCTAAATAATTATACGTTATATTTATAATTCACTTAATAATTCGGAATTTTTGAAATAATTTTCTTTTCATATATATGGTATGTACATGAAACACATGCATACATATACATATTTTATAAAATGGTAGAACAAATTTGTAATGTATTAAATATATGTTATATTTTAGATCAATCTATAAACTTGGAAATAGTCATATAACAAAAAGTCACAGTAATACAAAGTCTGCGTTCCATTTAACGTTCATAACGTTCGTGAAATCATTTCATCTTTGCTGTTTATATTAAATATTAAACAAGGGCAAACAATGATTGAGAGCACAAAATGGAGCGTAGCCAAAGTGGTAACACGCTAATGTGATACCCTCGGTGATACCACTATATAATTACATGATAAAAATCACATCTCATTGTGTCCCTATTATGACATATATATATAACACATCAAAACAATATATAATAAATATAACATCGCCGTTCAACAGTTTTATTGCAATCGTTTTATGATTCGTCTCGCTGATTGGATTATACTTTTAGATCTAAAGGAATTAGTTCTATCTCAGTGAAGAATCATGAAACAGTTGTAAACCTTTGAGTCTGCTGAACGCGACCATTTTATATCATATAGTGACACTACAATTTATAAGATTTATATTATGAGTCTATTGTAATGTGAACACATGACATTTTTATTGCTGTTGAAAGTGTGAATTTTTTAAATATCTATAAAGTGCATTAAATTAATAATAGTTTTAATAATAGTTTAAAAAAAACTTTAAATAAGTTAACAACTCTCGCAATTAAAAATCAAAATATAAAATAACCTATGTATTTAAAGTTGTACATCGGTTTACAGGCAAACGAGTCACAATGTTAGTTATAATTTAACCAATAATAAGTTACCAGTAAGCTGACGAGGAACTTCACTGGCCGATGATTGTGCTTATACTTATAGACAACATTAAGAATTTAATCTAAATACGAATGGATAACATCCACCGCTGAAGATGGCAAAAAACTATTGCCGAAACGTCCGGAATAGCTCGTAATCGTTGGATCACGAATTAAATGTAATAAGTATCGTTAAATTATAACTAATATTGTGACTCTATTTGCCAGTAAACCGATGCACAACTTTAAATATATAGGTTATTTTATATTTTGATTAATAATAGTTTTGAATACTATAAAAGAAACATTGGCTAGTTTTAATAGTTTAATTAATATTTTTTTAATTATTTATGCTACCTGTAAATGATGAGTCCCCAATGTTCCATGCCTAAACTCGGATAATGCGGTATTACGACGTGATCCGTTTTCGGCATTTTATCGGAACTATTGAAATATTCGGTGAAAACTGGCTTGGCATTTTTAGCAATTGTAAGCGATATTTCTACTTGCGACATCCAAGATCTCCTGCACCACGTATTCATATTGCCTGCATTGGAAATATAAATGTAATCAGAGTTGGGAACCATAACAATCGCCACAAGATAAGTGGACATTTTAAGAGTAGTTTTGAAGCGTGTCATGACTGTGTTAGCGTCTACCGTGTATTCTATTCGTACTGGCATGTTTGACAATGCACTATATTTATTGTGATGCTTTACAGATATGTTAAAAGTGGCTTTGAATGCTGGTTCGTCCCAACATGGAAATACTCGTCTGGCTCCATTCGGTTCGAAAAATGTTGCAATCGTCCACCTATAATTTAATGAAATACCTTAAATTTCGTAAATTTAACACTTATGTCAGATAACGTAATTTAAATTTAGAAAATACTAATGTTTTATTTAATATTTACTTACATTTTCTTTCCTTCTTCGTTTGTGTATGGAAATTTCATGAAACCATTTTCTTTAATATGAGTTTCAGATAGAATACCAGTAAATTTTATGTTAAGAGTGTAAAAACCAGGCGATAATACATTTTTGAATTCAAGTGTTAAGATACTCGTTACATTGTCATGAGTATGTTCCATCGGTTTATAAACTATATTCTTGTCATTAGTCAACGTTGTCACTGTTTCATCTATTAATAAATCTCTCGCGTGTAAGCTTATATTTTGCGATGGATAATGAATCTCAATTCGAATATCGGATTCGCCGATGAAAACGGAGTCATTTCCTTCGAGATAACTCGTCGGCGTCAGTTCAATGTCGTAGTGAAAAGGTATCGCGTTGCTGGGTAAACGACGTATAATTTCAAAATTACCATTGATGCAAAAACTCATAGCCAATATGAAGCTAACATTTAATAACAACTTTAAGAATCCCATATTGATCCACAATCGTTTCACGTATCTACAATATTTTGTTGCTGTATAAATTAAAATTTTAAAAAAGAAACAAATGATAATGCGATCCAAATTGTAACTTGATTAATCTTTATACAAAAATAAAAAATGTGAAAAGATAATTATAACTATTTTTATTAAGATTAATATATGTATATATAGCTAATTTGGAAAAATTATGAATTTCTTAATTATTTTCTGTATTTAATATTTAATATACTTTGATGCATTTGTACTTTTAATTGATCCTGTTATTTTTATTTTCGTAGAATTTAAGAAACAAAATATAAAAGATCAATTTAAAAAAAAATTAATATAATTAAATTCAGTTAATTCAACTTTTTAAACATGTAAATAGTGTGTGTATATTTGGCTGTATAAATTATTTACAATGGGAAATAAAACATGGATACAATGTTGATATGTAATATTTGAATTGTTTATCGAGTAAAGTAGCTACATGTGTTATATAAAGTTTAAATTTATTTCTTGATTCAATTATATTTATCTTTTCTAATATATTTTAACTCAATATTTAATCTTTATTAAATTTCTTCAATAAAAAACCAATTTTGTTAAGAAAATATATATAACATATAGAATGGCTCAAGTAATATAAATTAAATAAAAATATATTAAGAAGGGTTTGAGAACAAGCCAGTAAATTTTAATACTTAAAACAAAAGATTTATTGTAAATAACAATTAGCTGAAAATATAAACAACAGACGTTTCGACTCCAATCGAGTCATTATCAATGTTAAGTATACCTATAATACGATTAAGACGGTTAAACGATAAATAATAAAAAGATTATTAAATCATTTGCGGCTTTGATGCAAATTGAAGAGTCGCTCTTGGAAGTTCTTATTTCTATTCTAATAATATATTATGTCACTTTCATGTGGTTTACTGGCTCGTAACCCTTCTCAACATACTTTTTTATTTCTTAAGAAATTTTCTAAAAAATTATTAGACAAAATTTTAGAATTATATAAATATTATCATTTTTTAATTTTTATAAGTAGGTTTATATAAAAGTTTAAAATATAGTAATTAATAAACCATTTTTTTTTAATATTTTCAGTAAGAGATATAAACCTCTATTTAATTATTATAATTTTTTTAAGTTACTTTGTATTATAGATACCTGATTCAGATTAAAAATACAGTTGATATCTAGAGTCTACAGCATGATTACTATTGTAATCTTGTCATATTGAAAGATCCTTGAATACTGACTACAATGTCAATCTTTTGTGCTATTTTATGTATCAAGTATATCATATAAATGTTATGTTTATCAATATATATATGATGTTATTTACCTAATTTTAAACGTATACGTTTCGTTCTCGATAACAAATATTGAGACTTGTAACGTATTTATATAATAAACAATTAAAATTTTTCGAGAATTAAGCTTTTCAAGAAATTGAATAATAAGAAAAAAATACTTGTAAATGTGTCCATTTTTCACGAAATTACGCTTACTTAAAATTATGCAAAATTTTGACATAAATTGATGTTGCAATAATTTTGTTGACGAATTTATATCTTGTTATCTTGAAATATATGTCACAATATATTCTTAAACTTTAAGGAGATGAATAGATGATAAGTGTATTAAATACACTAAGTAATCTGTGAACTTTATTTTTAATTTTAGTGTATAAAGTCCACTACATCGTCTCTTAATTTTGCATTTACTTTAATTCTATAAAAAGATTGTTTATCATTTTTTATTCTGTTAAATCAATTTTGAAATTTTTATATGATTATAATATCGAATAGTTTGATTGAAAAAACGCATTTTTTTTATTAAATTCTTTGTGATATATGTTTAGTAAAGTAATATTTGTGTGTATT